CAAGAGGTGCCTGTTTTGTAATAAGCGCAATAGCTCGCGGTAATTACTGGGCCGATTGCGCTAAAACTTGGCATGGAGGTAGACACTTTCCAGGCGATGCATTTCCATGTGTCTTGGTAGGGGTGCAACTGCACGTGCGCACGTGCAGGGTGACGCTTCCAGATCTCGAGAACGGCTGGACCGATCGTGTTCAAATTTGGCATAACGCTTGATACCGATCAGTAGGTTGCAGTCATTTAGTATGTATTTCCATGTGCCACGATTGGGGTGCAACTGCACGTGCGCACGTGCAGGGTGACGCTTCCAGATCTCGAGAACGGCCGGGCCAATTGTGCTCAGATTTGGCACACCGCTAGAGATCGCGTAGTAGGGTGTGTTGCACAGGTCTGCTGGGCCCCAGGTTGCACGTGCGCACGTGCAGGGTGACGCTTCCAGATCTCAGGAACGGCTGGGCCGATTGCATTCAAATTCGGCACACCTTTAGAGTAACCGCAGGTTGTTTGAAAAGACAAACACTATTCGTTAGAATTGTGTTTTTCTATTGAAAAACAACCGGAGCGGTCGTTCTCCGGGCTATGTTTTGCAAGTCTGGCAGCGAATTGGGGCAACTTGGTAGGGGCCTAGACGAAATGTACAATCTTCGTAAAAAGTTCAGTGTATGGGCTCCCGGAGGCGATCTACCTTATGGCACCGGTCGCTACTCGCTTAAAACCTCGTGGCACGTGGCACGTGCGATTCCATTTTCCCCGTGTTAAGTCAACGGGGTTTTGGACACTTTTTGCGCCATCGGGAATGGCGGAAAAACGAGTCAAGAAAGGGGTGGTTTTCATCCCAGCATTTTATGGCAAACACGTTTGGGTACACGCTAGTGTGCGCTGTATACCCCTCAGAATCTCGGAACGTGTCTTTGCACGAGGTCAAAGTTGGAATTTTGCTGTGTCCCATGTTAAGTCAATGGACGGCGATGTCGAGACTTTGCAGAGACATTTTCATTCGATCTTTGTACAAAATTTTAGAGATAGATTTCGCCCAAACTCTTATATCTTGTAGAGGAAAGAGCATAGTACTTGCTGGTATGCTTCGTTAAGGTGGCAAAACTCATTTTTTCTTTTAAAGTTAATTTGAAATTTAAAATTTTTAACATGGAAAGTCAATGGGAGCGTCTTTATTTCTCTATAACTTTTATCTTTAGTAAGATGTATAGGTGAAAAGTTAATATAATATACAACTTTTGATGCTCTTTCCACTGATGCATTGGACGTCACTGCACGATGTGCCGTTTTTAAGAAAAGCTGTAAAAATTCAGGGCTCGACTGTGACTTGAACCCAACCACATTAGAGTATACGAACAGGTGACGGGGATACCTCCCGTGTGCGGATGCGACACTGATTATTGCTAAATATTAGCATTCGGCCGCCTTGGGGGCGCCTTGCAAAGCTTCTATCTCCACAACTACTTGACCAATTCACTCGCGGTCTTTTGTGTGGGATAGCTTCTTCCTTTCTTACACGTAGTGCGCTATTCTCGATGCGTATGGGTGACCCCTAATGCACGTGCCACGTGCAAAACGATGAGAAGTCAGTTCAGTAACAAGTCTAATAACTCTGTAGTTAGTTTGCCGATTGCGCTGGTACTTTGCATGGATGTTGGCACGCACCCGGCAATGCATTTCCATGTGTCACGTTTGGGGTGCAGCTGCACGTGCGCACGGGCAGGGTGACGCTTCCAGATCTCGAGAACGGCCGGGCCGATTGTGATCAAAGTTGGCACACCGCTAGGGATCGGCTAGTAGGGTGCCGTGCACAAGTCAGATGGGACCCAGTTTGCACGTGCGCACGTGCAGGCTGACGCTTCCAGATCTCAAGAACGGCTGGGCCGACTGTGCTCAAAATTGGCATACCGCTAGAGACTGGTTAGTAGTGTGCCGTGCACAAGTCAGTTAGTATGTATTTTCATGTGCCACGGTTGGGGTGCAGCTGCACGTGCGCACGGGTAGGGGTCGTTTCCCGATCTTGGAAACGGCTGGGCCGATTCAGATTAAATTTGGTACATCGCTAGAAACCGGCGAATAGAGTGCCGTGCACAAGTCAATTGGGACCCAGGTTGCACGTGCGCACGTGCAGGGTGTCACTTCCAGATCTCGAAAACGGCCGGGTCGATTGCACTCAAATTTGGCAAACCGCTAGAGACCGGTTAGTAGAGTGCAGTGCACGTCAGTTCGTGACACACCAGCTCCGGGCTGCACGTGCAAGGCTCATCCTCTCGTTTGGCGGCGGGCGTTTTTGCGGCGTTACAGAGGTGCTTGCTCAAACAACCTGCGGTCCCGCGATGCGGAGCCCAGCATCGCAGATGCTGGTAACCGCAGGTTGTTTGAAAAGACAAACACTATTCGTTAGAATTGTGTTTTTCTATTGAAAAACAACCGGAGCGGTCGTTCTCCGGGCTATGTTTTGCAAGTCTGGCAGCGAATCGAGACATCTTGATTGGGGCCTAGACGAAATGTACAATCTTCGTAAAAAGTTCAGTGTATAGGCTCCCGGAGGCGATCTACCTTATGGCATCGGTCGCTACTCGCTTAAAACCTCGTGGCACGTGGCACGTGCGATTCCATTTTCCCCGTGTTAAGTGAACGGGGTTTTGGACACTTTTTGCGCGATCGCCAATAGCGGGAAAACGAGCCAAGGAAGAGGTGGTTTTCTTCCCAGCATTTTATGGCAAACACGTTTGGGTACACGCTAGTGTGCGCTGTATACCCCTCAGAATCTCGGAACGTGTCTTTGCACGAGGTCAAAGTTGGAATTTTGCTGTGTCCCATGTTAAGTCAATGGACGGCGATGTCGAGACTTTGCAGAGACATTTTCATTCGATCTTTGTACAAAATTTTAGAGATAGATTTCGCCCAAACTCTTATATCTTGTAAAGGAAAGAGCATAGTACATGCCGTTATGCTTCGTTAAGCTGGCAGAAATCGTTTTTTCTAATAAAGTTCGTTTGAAAATGAAAATTTTTAACATGGAAAGTCAATGGGAGCGTCTTTGTTGCTTAATAACTTTTTACGTTACAGATATATCAAAGTGAAAAGTTAATAAAACATACAACTTTCGATGCTCTTTCCAATAATGTATAGAACGTCACTGCACGATGTGCCGTTTTTAAGAAAAGTTGTAAAAAAGCAGGGCTCGACTGTGACTTGAACCCAACCACATTAGAGTATACGAATAGGTGACGGCGATACCTCCCGTGTGCGGATGCGACACTGATTATTGCTAAATATTAGCAGTAGGCCGCCTGTGGGGTGCCTGTACAAACCTTATATCTCTGCAACCACTGGACCGATTCACTCGCGGTCTTTTGTGTGGGATAGCTCCTTCCTTTCTTACACGTAGTGTGCTACTCTCGATGCGTATGGGTGACCCCTAATGCACGTGCCACGTGCAAAACGAAAAGAAGTCAGTTCAGTAACAAGTCTAATAACTCTGTAGTTAGTTTGCCGATTGCGCTGATACTTGGCATGGTTGTAGGCACCCGCCGCGCAATGCATTTCCATGTGTCACGGTTGGGGTGCCGCTGCACGTGCGCACGGGCAGGGTGACGCTTCCAGATCTCGAGAACGACTGGGCCGATTGTGATCAAAGTTGGCACACCGTTAGGGCTCGGCGAGTAGGGTGCCGTGCACAAGTCAGATGGGACCCAGTTTGCACGTGCGCACGTGCAGGCTGACGCTTCCATATCTCAAGAACGGTTGGACCGACTGTGCTCAAATTTGGCATACCACTAGAGACTAGTTAGTAGGGTGCCGTGCACAAGTCAGTAAGTATGTATTTTCATGTGCCGCGGTTGGGGTGCAGCTGCACGTGCGCACGTGTAGGGGTCGTTTCCCGATCTTGGAAACGGCTGGGCCGATTCAGATTAAATTTGGTACATCGCTAGAAACCGGCGAATAGAGTGCCGTGCACAAGTCAATTAGGGCCCAGGCTGCACGTGCGCACGTGCAGGGTCACGCTTCCAGATCTCGAAAACGGCCGGGTCGATTGCACTCAAATTTGGCACACCGCTATAGACCGGCGAATAGGGTGCCGTGCACGTCAGTCCGTAGCACACCGACTCCGGTCTGCACGTGCAAGGCTCATCCTCTCGTTTGGCGGCGGGCGTTTTTGCTGCGTTTCCAAAGGTGCTTGCTCAAACAACCTGCGGTCCTACTCGCTGTGGTCCTCAGTGGATTCCGAGTTCTGGGATGGAATACATTTGCTTGTTGCGGTGACTCTTTTCACTTGAATTTACGTAAGCTCACCAATCTAAGAAAGCAAACCTGTATATTGCATGGCTTTGTATAAGAAATATCAACTCTCGGACAATGTTGCGTGTTTTCGGCATCCAGACAATCAGGGATAATTTTCCATGATCACCGGGATGAATCGGTGTTTTAGGCTGACACCGTGAACGACGGACATAACAACGAGTAATAGAGCCATTGGCGAAACAATAGAAATGTGAAAAACATGACTAATTGCATTGACGACCCCTGCTTGTTTGTTTGTTTGTTTTGTTGGGTTAGGCCCTTTCGGTCGACAAGACCATTGCAGAGCCGGAAGGATGATAGGAATTAGGGGGAGACATTGGTCTGGGCAGGCACCCTAGTGAGTCGCCGGGGCTGAGCCCGTCCAGAGGACAGGCCACCCAGCCCCAAGGCACTCACTGCACCCGGCTACGGGGTGCGCTCCCTCGGGAGCAGCGGTGCCGCTCCAAGGGAGCAGCCCGCATGAGATAAAGTTGCCTGTCCAGCCCGGAGGAGGGTTGTGGCGTGGAGGAGAAGGATTTCAGTATCTTGAGGATAGAAGCACGGACGGATGACGACCCCTGCAATACCAAACAATTGACTGTGCTCCCGGAAATATCCCTCATTTTCCAGATGCCGAACGCACTCGTGTACTCGGCTTTCGGACTGCCGCTGCCCTCTCGTGTTCGGCTGGTAACTACAGTTTCTCTATTCTGCCGCCAGGTGGTGTCTGTGCCCGGGGATAACGATATTGGCGGCGAGGGCTCGGAGCCGGTCAAACAGGACAAGGTGGCCGCCTTCCGGGCAGAGTTTGGGGGAAAGGACACTGCCCTGGTGGACTTTGTCCAGTTCTACAAGGTAGGGGTCGGGCTCGGACGACTCGGAGCCCAGGCCTGGGCGGTTGTGCTGGAATGTAAGGTGCCGGCAGGTCAGTTGATTTGACTATGTAAAACACTTCTTAGAAGGGACTGGGTGTCGTTTTTGGGCCCTATTCGTGAAAAATAAATAGTATTTATTTTTCAGAATCATGATGGGATGAAGCATTAGGTTAATGTACTAGGTTAACGTTGAATAATGAATAAAGTAAGATACTGAAAGCAAAGCGATAATGCACCTGATTAAACCTGCCCAGCTTTGTTTCTTTTGATCTGCATGTCTTTTTATTCAATGGCAAATGTAGCCTGTTATAGGAACATTATCATTATTCGTAATGACGCCATTGAAGCCTTCTGCAGGTTGTGTATGTCGCTGTCGCCCCGCTGTGACGCTACCCCCCCCCCCCCCCCCCCCCCCTCAGATCGGCACCATCCCGCCGCGGTCGAACCACACGCGGCCACCGCTGTCGGACGGCATTAACGTCATGCTGAGCCACTTCCCGCTGACGGCTTCCGTGTCAGCGGTCAACCACGAGGTCAGAGGGGTCAGCCAAAAGGGTCAAATACTGGGTCAGAGGGATCAGAAATCTGGCCAGTGAGAAGGAAAATGCATTAGGCTGCTGGTGGTGTCATGGGACGATTACTACTGATTTGGGGGTTGGTTCGGTGGTGGCACGCGGCTCGAAAATTCCACGTGCTCTGAAGTTGCCAGAGAAGCTGACCTGATCTGTCAAAAGTAATGTTCCCGCCCGGGATCGAACCGGGGACCTTCCGCGTGTGAAGCGGACGTGATAACCACTACACTACGGAAACAACGAATACTTGCCGACCCTGATGCTGGAAAAATACATGTGTGGTAGAAACTTAATACCATGACGTCACTGATTCACGCAGAGTATATTCGCTAACCATTCTCCCGTTCCGCAGGCCCTAAGGCGCCTCCGGATCAACCTGATTTTCTCGGCACACTCGCACACTTCCTTTGTGGGTATAAGAAGGAAGGAGACGGGTCACAGTCTGAGGATGGAGGGCCTCAACTCGCCGGCACTCGAGAGCATCAACCTCGAGGTGAGAGCCGGGATTGTTTACCAACTCTGATATACTATTGTTTTGTGTTTCGATCTATCTATTTATGATCGTTATTACGGCTTGGGTTTATTTTGTTAGCGTGGCGTGTCTAATATACTGTAGCGTTCGTTTGAGCGCCCGAGTCGTAGTTTTTTTTTTCTACGTGTTCCGAGTTCTTTGCCGTCTTATTCGCCGATCCTTCTCGCCCCCTCAATTCAGACCCAAAACGGGCTTAGCCAGCTTCGAAAGCAATTACTTACACACAATATTTACACTCGCCATCGGCTATTCACAATAAGGGCCCGTTGGGCCTCACCTTCGTACATACATTCTGTTGCTGTGTCGCGCTCGATGGTCGGCGCACGCAACCACAAGTCTCTGGCACAGTATTGCCGAGGCCTGCCCCAGTAGAGAGCAGAGAGTAGGGGTCCTACCTCGACGGCACTGAGGCGATATACCGCGCCTGCGGCTGATGGCCTTGCCTGGGTCGCGGCTCGCTAAATCTAGTCCCGCAGGACAGGTCAGGTCATACAGCTGAACGGATGAGAACAGAACAGCGCAGGACTCAGCCCGGGAAAGTGGACGGTGCTGCCGACTCGGCCTAGCCAGCAGTCCCTCTGGCCGCTCTGGCCTCATTATATTCAGAGATGCCCTAACGTCAAAATTCCCAACGTTTATTGGGCGTTTTCCAAGTAAGGTATATGTTCATCAACATCGTGCAATCATCACTTTCACTACCTCTATCTACCGATTTCTTCTTTGTTTTTTAATTTCTTTCCTCGAAGAAGTTTCCAGGAGCGAAACAGGGCACGGCTTAGCTCCAATAGTTTTCACATTGGATGTCAATGACCTTCCAGCAACTCATTTTTCTGATGTTCCTTCAAAGAAAAATGTTGTTTCGATCGATCACGAGCGTTAAATTGTCTGAAAAGGGAACTTAAAAAACGCACAATAAACCGCAATAAACCGATTAAAATTAAGTGTTTTAACAATGGGATGGGTATCTATCTCTATAGATTATATCTCTATGGCGGCCTGCCTCGAGTGCTGCCTGGAGGTCGGGTTGCTGCTGTTGTTGTTGTTGTTGTTCCCCTCCAGTGGCAGGCGGCGCCGACCGATGGGAGTCGGCCGGCCAGTAACCTCCGAGTATTACAGAAAACATTGAGCTGGCAGGGGCGGTGTCAGGTGGCCCACCTGGCCCACCCGCGCCGGCGGAGGCCGTGGGGTCTCCCGGACCCTCCGCTGGTCGCGCTGCTGCGCCGGCCCGCGGGTCTCGCCGTGCCCGTCCTCCCCTGCGGATGTTTACGTGCCGCCGCCGCCGCCGCATTCCGCCCCCGGCCGACTCGGCGATGCGGGGCGGAAGGGATGACCCTGCGCCCATCAGCCGGTGGGGGGGGGGGGGGGGCGGTCCGGCGTAGCGGTCCCGTCGGCTCCTGCGCCTAGCCGTTACCGCGGTGTGGATGAGTCAGAGGGACGAAGTTTCTCATACTACATATAGAGGGAAAAGTTGAGGCATTCCACCTCATCCTCATTCTTCATGCACAACCCATCATCATCCCTGACGATAATATACCCACTCATTCCGCTCAGAGATTATCCCTGGGGGGACGCACCCCCCCCCCCCCCTCATGAGTGACCGTTGAGGTCTGGGCGGCTACTGACCTGCCTCTCCGGGCTCGTCTTATTCCCAACGGGACGGTCCAGAAGGTGTATACGCTGCATATCCGACGCTCAGCTATTACCAGCACACCAGTCGTGGTCGAACCAACCCAATGTCTCACATCAGCCCGTCATTCACATTACCGTCCTAAGATGGACTAATAGGACAGAAATTACGGTTTAACCCGATCAAAACGAATGTGTAAAGGTTCAGATTTATATGACTGATTTGGGTACCCCTGTTTTAACTCGTAACTCTTTCTGATGAGTTCTGAGCAGCTGTGTTGGTTTTCCACAAAACATGCCCGGTATTTTGTCGATATAAACCGCTGCCCGAGCTGTGTTGCCTCAGTGGTATCCTCGGGTGTCCTATCACCGGTCCACGTTCGTAAACCGCTGCTGGGCTCAATCTTATAAATGCCCTGGAATGGATATGGCAGCACTGGCTGAAGTTCATATGCAGAAAACGGCCATCAAATGCAAAATGGTTTTCACGTATTTCAATCTATCGTTTGTCGACAGTCCAAAAAATTATTTCATTGACTCGGATACCTAACCGTTTGTCGACACTGGTATCACTATGTTACCAATTGGCGTGAATAGAATAGTACGACATGTTTTAAGATTGTACCCTGGGTGGTGTGTTTCAGGACGATAACACGGTGGAGATTGTCGTACCGACCTGTTCATACCGGATGGGCGTCAGAACAATGGGCTACGGAGCCGCCGTCATCGGTACGTAACCATGGCAACCGCCGCGTCACCGCGCGTCCGTGACCCCAGAGCCATACGGAGAATGACGCGTGGCGTGCGTTCGACATCCGGAAAATGAGGGATAATTATCCGGTATCACCGGTAATAATTTGATATTGCAGGGACTATCGATGTAATTGGTCACATTATTAGATTGCCTTTGCTTCACTAATGGCTATTTTACTCGTTGTCATGTCCGTTGTGCACGGTGTCAGCTTAAAACACCGAATGATCCCGGTTATCCCGGAAAATTATCCCTGATTGTCCGGATGTAGAACGCATGCGTGGTTTGACTCGTTTTGGTCATATTTGTAAAAGGCTGGTCAGAGGGGCGGGGGCTCAGAATTGCATGCTTCGTCGGTTAAATTTGTATGATTTTACTGGATTTTACGGAACCCCATAATAGTTATGAGGCGTTTGTTGCATGTAAGCTGTGTGGTATTTGGATCTCTGTTGGTTGTATCATAACGACACTATCATAAGCTGGCCAAAGTTATGTTACCATCGAGTTCGTCTTTGTGAACATTTGTCCAAGTGTATCTCCCATATCTCGTAACATCAACAGTGTGTGCCTTTAGAGGCTCTGCAGCTAATCTCTCTTGCGCCCCACTTATGAACTCAAACAGTGCTATCTCACAGTGAAGAGGCGGGTGAGGGTACGCCGGCCCCGCTGATTGTTTGGGTACTGAGACATACCGAGACAACAGGTCCGGCGCTATTCCACAGAGCGCCGCGGGCATTGTTTGTGGAGATAGCCGGCTTTGTGGCCGTTTTTTGATGAGATCGGCTCAGGTCATCGACCCGAGCTCCTCCATCGCCGCTGTTCTGTTCTCTGTGGCTTAATATCTGCTTTGTGTATTGATACACGAAGAGTTGACATCACGACCGATATAACGTTGAGTTTTTAGTGTGTCGTTCTACAATACGACATTTAAACCAAGTAATCCTTAACTGACCCTGGCTGTAACTCGGTCCCTTGTCTCTGAGCTGCTCTCACTTCCGTCACTGACCCCCCCCCCCCCCCCCGCCCCCGCCCTCCTCAGACCGTGCGGGCCGGGTGAGTTACGCGGTGCTCTGGCTGACCTCCCCCCCCTCCTCAGACCGTGCGGGCCGGGTGAGTTACGCGGTGCTGTGGCTGACCCCCCCCCCTCACTGACCCCCCCCCCCTCCGCTCCCCCCCCCCCTCCTCAGACCGTGCGGGCCGGGTGAGTTACGCGGTGCTCTGGCTGACCCCCCCCCCCCCGTCCTCCCTCCTCAGACCGTGCAGGCCGGGTGAGTTACGCGGTGCTCTGGCTGACCCCCCCCCCGTCCCCCCTCCTCAGACCGTGCGGGCCGGGTGAGTTACGCGGTGCTGTGGCTGCCGTCTCGGTTCAAACACCTGCACATCTACCTGGCTGTGGCTCTTTGCGCCGGTGTGGTGCTGCTGGCCTGTCGGTGCTGCCGAACGGACCGACAGCGCGCCAGGAGCCGGGCCCGGCTCCCCGGCGTCTGACTCCCCGGCGACTCTGACTCTGGCGACTCTGACTCTGACTCCCGACTCTGGCGACTCTGACACTAACTCGACTCTAACTCCCGACTCCCCGGCGTCTGACTCTCCGGCGACTCTGACTCTGGCGACTCTGACTCCCCGCCGTCTGACTCCCCGGCGACTCTGACTCTGACTCGACTCTGACTCCGACTCTGACTCTAACTCTGACTAACTCCCGACTCCCCGGCGTCTGAGTCTCCGGCGACTCTGACTATGGCGACTCTGACTCTGACTCTGACTCTGACTCCCGACTCTGACTCTGACTCTCCGCCGTCTGACGCTGCCGCCAGCCGGGGTCTGAAGTCGTCCAGAGATTCTTCAGTGGTCGGTAGGACCGTTATCAATATCGTTATCGGTAGGATTGTTATCAGTTAACCAGCGGTGTAACGCTGGATAGGCTGTTAGGCATTGTTAGGGCCTCGGGGTTAGGTACACCAAATGCCGGTGTTTTAATCGGTGTTAACTCGTATATGAGGCGTTATTTAACACATTGATGTGTGTTGGGTGTCAACGTTTTTCGTACAAGGGGGTAACTTCTATCCGACCTTTGGCAATAGGAAGCTGTTGGCGTTTTATGGAGTCATGTTCATGTGTGCCTCTTGCTGTTGAGCGCAAGTGTGAAGAGGTTTAATTCACCTCCTATCGTGAGTCACAGGGATCTACACTCTACACGGTTATCTAGCGGTGGCATTAGGGGAATATGTCTTGGTGTGCTTTCCTCGTGTTGTTAGATGGCGTTAAATAAGTCGATACCAACACTTTTAAACGAGCGTCGTCCCGGCAAGACACGAGAGTTAGATAACTCCCTTCGCTGGGCCGGCGAGTTCTCTCAGGGTAACTCTATGGTAACTCTATGGTTACTATGGTAACTCTCCGACAATCCGTAAAATGTGTGCCAAATTCGTGGACATGCCTGTAATGGCCATCCTATTTTTCACGTTTGTGAAAATGTTCACAGACGAACCGTTGGATCACACAGGGTCATTGGGCTAGATAAGGCATAAAGTGCGAAGGAATCCAGCAATACTTCCAGCAATCACAGTTGCCAAGCTCTCTCAGCTAGGTCTATATCTGGACGGGATGAATGTGTGGATACGGTGCAATAACCTGACGAGTTTCGGTAACTAAAGGGAAGTGTGTCATTCAGTGGATTTGGTGACTTACATTCGATTATACGTTAGTTGTTTATCCCTCGGATAACTTAAGAACGATTTTAAGTTAAAACGGCTTGCTACTGCCATGTATGTTTCCATTGTTCTTGAGGAAATTCAGTATAGTTCCCAACAACCGTGCAGTTCATTTCAGAGGGTCAGCCCAGATTTAGGTGCGTGCGCGTATGGCACTAGTTCTCGCCGTTCTGACGTAATTTTGTGTAAAATGCAGTCAGATGTTTTAGTGTTTTGTGGTACGATGTGCCCCATTGCTGCTGGTGTGGAAGGGGCATTTCGGTTCTAAGCCGGCATGTCATTTCTTAAAGTCGAGCTAGAGTCCCTCTAAGTTCGTTTGGTAGCCGGAACGCCGTATGTTCATGAAGTTCACATTGCGTACTTGGTCGTCCAGAGATGTTGCAACTGTTGCTAACCAAGTGTGTTTCGAGTGGCCTGCGGCAGTGCGTTGTCAGCACGTGCCATACAGGCCACAGATCTCCTGGTTTTTAATGTGACTTGTGTAGGGGTGCTGTACGTTTTGGCCCGTCCTACAGTGCGCACTGTTGTACGGAGTTGTGGTGTGTTTTCGAGGTAGATGATCTTAATATGACCGTTTGTTCGTGCGCTACCATTGTTTGAGCCGTTCTCCAGTGAAAAGACTAAGATCATGTGGACGATACAGTTTTTCCTCTTCAGACTGACTCGGCTCTCGAAGCCGGCGATGGAGCTGTTTGTTTTGTTGGCGATAAGATACAGGCGATCGCTGAAAACTCCTCAGCCGTCACAGTGCCGCCCTGTCGGCGCTATCTAGCGGTGGTCACGCAGATCTCCCATCGCTGACCGATAGGGCACAGACCGCTGACAGGTCATTGACCCGCTCTGAACTCCCCTGTCGACCGCTATCAGTAGTGTATATTTTAAAACACAGCGAACAAATCACATAAGATGAAAGCGGCTCAGCTCTGACCAAATCGTAATGCCGAAGAGAGTCGGCAAAGAAGTACATAACAAAATTAACAACCGTCCCATTGTAACTATGGCAATCAGTCAATCAAACACACGGCATACAAACACTGTACAAACACCACAAACAGCACTAAAACATCACAAGCAGCGTCTGACCGTCACGACCCGGTCAGGGTTTGGTGCTGGTCTTGTGCTCCCACCTGCCCTTCACGGCGCTCGTTTGCCAGCCGGCGGCCGGCCGGGCGGGGCACTGCTTCTTCTGCACCCCGGTGAAGTCGCCGGAGAACATGAGGTCGTCGGGCAGCAGCAGCTCCGGCATGTCAGTGCGCTGCGCCAGCGCCCAGTAGCGCGAGCGCAGTAGGTGCGCCGACATCTTGGGCTGTCGCTGACGGGTCAGCACCCCCTTCCGGTTCCCCACCACCCGAGTCGTATCCTGCTTGGTCATGAAGTCGGCGAAGTTCCAGATCATCTCCCCGACAAACCAGCCCTGCGCGCGCACCGCCTCAAAGGCGCGGAAGTTGGCGGCCATCAGCTGGGTCTGGTACTCCTCCGTGAAGACGAAGGTGGGCTGCTGGTGGAGACCGGCCACCGTGTCAGCTCCATACTCCGACTGAACCACCGGCTTGCCGAACGTGTCGCGCCAGAAGGTGAGGAAGTGCCGGGCCTGCAGGTCGATCAGCTCGGAGTGTCCGGTGTCCGAGTACCAGCCGAAGTAGCGGTTCACAAGGATCACGTCCAGCAGCGGCGCCACCAGTTCCGTGTCAGGGTAGGTGTTGAGCACGGCCGTCACGGGCCGTGTGCCGTCCTGGGCGCGCGCCAGCGCCACCAGCGTCTGGTAGTAAGGCACCGCCTCCGGCTGGCCCGTCTTGGCCTCGTTACTCAGCGACCACATCAGCACCGAGGGGCGGTTCTTGTCGCGCGCGATCAGGCCGGAGAGCGCCTCCGTGTGCGCCGTCAGGAGCCGGTCGTCGCCGCCCGTCTGCGAGTAGTCTAGCGACACGGCCGGTGTCTCGTCGATGACCATGATGCCGCGCGCGTCGGCCGCGTCCATGATCTCCTCGGCGTACGGGTAGTGGGACGTGCGGAAGCAGTTGGCGCCCAGCCACTCGATCAGGTTGAAGTCTTTGACGAGCAGCGGCAGGTCGAGGCCCTTGCCGCGGATGTCGCTGTCCTCGTGTTTGCCGAATCCTCGGATGTACACGGGACGGCCGTTGATGGAGACCGAGTCGGCATCCCACGTGATCTCCCTGATGCCGAACCTCTGCCGGAAGATGTCCCGCGCGCCGGAGGCGGCCAGCAGCTCGACGATCAGTGTGTACTGGCGGCCGGGCGAGGCGTCCATCAGGTAGGGCCACCACAGCTCCGGCTGAGTCACCGTCAACACGCCCTGGGCGCCGTCGGCCGCGCCCACCGGCTCTCCGCCGGGAGACACGAGCGTGACGTTCATCGTGACGTCGTCCTGCGTCAGCACGGTGGCCGCCGTGACGGCGTACGTGACGGCGGCCGAGCCGTCGGCGGCCAGTGTCGACGTCACGGTGACGTCCTCGACGAAGGTGTCAGCGGTGGTGTAGAGCAGCACGGGCCGGTGCAGGCCAGCGTAGTTGAAGAAATCGAAGTTGTACTCGAGCGTCTCGTAGCCCTCGGGGTAGACGTAGCTGGAGCTGTTGGCTTTGCGCACGGTGCGGCCCTGCGGCACAGTGATGTCGGTCAGAGTGTTGTTGACGCCGATGGAGACTAGGTTGGCCTGACCGGGCAGTAGTAGGTCGGTGACGTCGGCCGCGAACGGCAGGTGACCCCCGCTGTGCTCGGCTGCCCGTGCGCCGTTTACGTAGACCACGGCTGAGTAGTGGGCGCTGCCGACCCGCAGCACTGTCCGCCGCCCAGCCCAGGAGCGCGGAACCCACGCCTGCTGCCAGTACCAGGCCCAGCCGAGGTGGTCGCGCACGTCCGCCCGCTGCGTGATGTCGTTGTAGCTGGCCGGCACGGGCATGTCGAGCACCTCCGGGTCTTCGGCGCTCGGCATCGCGGCGAACCACTGCTCGCGGAAGCCGCGCTCTGGGTCGTCGGTGGGGCACAGTTTGAACTGCCACAGGCCGTCCAGGGAGCGCACCTCTCGCCACTCGGAGTCCTGCGGCGGCAGGCCGGCGAACGGCGCCGCTCCGTCCGGCCGGCGCACCGCGGGGTCGGCGCACAGCGGCCCGGCGGCGCCCAGCACCAGCAACAGCGTTAGGGAACGCATCGCTGCTGCGGGTCAGGGACCGGAAACACCGCTCCCGAGAGCCGGAAAACGCTGCTCCTGAGAGCCGGCAAACGCTGTTCCTGAGAGCCGGCAAACGGTGTCTCAGAGCGCCGGCAAACGCTGTCTCCGAGTGCCGGCAAACACTGTCTCCGAGCGGCAGCAAACGCTTCCTCCGAGCGCCGGCAAACACTTACTCCGAGCGGCGGCAAACACCGCTCCCGAGCGCCGGCAAACGCTTCCTCCGAGCGCCGGCAAACGCTGCTTCCGAGCGCCGG